AAACTTAACTACAACGCTCACCACATATATTAAGAAAGCTCACCAAAAATATTGAGAAAGCTCACCACATATATTGAGAAAGCTCACTAAACATTACTAGAAAGCTCACCACATATATATTGAGAAAGCTCACCAAATATATTAAGAAAGCTCACCAAACATAACTAGAAAGCTCACCAAACATTACTACAAAGCTCACCAAACATTACTACAAAGCTCACCAAACTTAACTACAAAGATCACCAAATATATTAAGAAAGCTCACCAAATTTATCTACAAAGCTCACCAAACATATATTAAGAAAGCTCACCAAACATTACTACAAAGCTCACCAAATAATTTAAGACTAAGACTTTTTTTTTTTAAATGAAAGCTCACCACATATATTGAGAAAGTTCACTAAATATATTAAGAAAGCTCACCAAATATTAACTACAAAGCTCACCAAAATTATTTTAGACTAAGATTATGTTTTTTACATGAAAGCTCACCAAAAATATAGAGAAAGCTCACCACATATATTGAGAAAGCTCACCATACATTACTAGGAAGCTTACCAAAACTATTTTAGACTAAGACTTTGTTTTTTGCATGAAAGCTCACCAAATATATTGAGAAAGCTCACCAAACTTAACTACAAAGCTCACCAAACTTAACTAGAAATCTCACCAAACATTACAAGAAAGTTCACCAAATAATTTAAGACTAAGACTTTGCTTTTCACATGAAAGCTCACCACATATATTGAGAAACTCACCAAAAATTACTACAAAGCTCACCAAACATAACTAGAAAGCTCACCAAACTTAACTACAAAGCTCACCTAATAAAGCTCACCAAAAATATAGAGAAAGCTCACCACATATATTGAGAAAGCTCACCAAACATTACTAGAAAGCTCACCACATATATTGAGAAAGCTCACCAAATATATTAAGAAAGCTCACCAAACATTACTACAAAGCTCACCAAATAATTTAAGAAAGCTCACCAAACATAACTAGAAAGCTTACCAAACATTACTAGAAAGCTCATCAAACTTAACTACAAAGCTCACCAAATATATTGAGAAAGCTCATCAATTTTTTATACCCATGTATTGGGTTATTAACAAGAAGGCAATTTTGTGGCGCATTTGCGGAAGGAAATGGATGAGAAGTGCCGGTGTCAATTCTCTTTACTCTTAAATTTTTATCAGAATCTAATACTCCCTTCGTCCCGGTATATTCGTCCACTTTTGACTTTTGAAACTGTTCATCTAAGCACTTTGACTCATCAAATTCTCTCAATGTGTAAGCCTAAATATAGTCACGTGTGATCTTGTTTGATTTGTCTTAACATATAGATTAATAATATATAATTCCTATAATTTTTTAATATACAAATTATAAGATAAAATGGATTAAAGAAGTGTATTGCATGGTGTCTAAAAATGGAAGTGTACAAATACTCTGGGACGGAGGTAGTATATTTTTTCCGTAATTTATTCTCAAAGTTTAAAATGTTTGCTCCAAAAGTCAAAATGGGAAAAAATATAGTCATCGTTTAAAAGCATTGACGAAAAGAAGTTGGCCCCAAACTCGACCTAGTGTTGTATGAATTTTGCAATGTTAGAATAAGTGTCCTTCCCTAGTAATATTTGATCACCTTATAGAAGTAATATTTTAACAGCATGGTTACCAACTTTGAAAACAACACTCTCAATTTAAAGAAGTAGAACAGAAATCCAAATCAAAAGAAGCAAATTGACATGGAGTTTATAAATATTAGTCATAGAAGATAGAAGAAAGTGCTAATATGATACACATCAAGTATCATTTCCATTTGAACCAAAAAAAACTCTGGCTTAAAGTCTTAAAATTTCTAAATCTACTCTTTCAACCAAAAAATAAAACCTCTCAAAGCATTCAACTCCCCATTTTTTTCCATAGTCTGCAATAAAAAAGAACTAAGACGGAACAGTAGGCATATACAGAGCTCAAATTCCAACTTCGGCTTCTGCTAATCTCTAAACAGTAGCTGCTAGACCTCCCTATTGTTGTTTTGCTTCCAAGTTAACAGGTGATAGTCACTGTAAAAAGAGCAATGCAAATCAGCCTCCCACATGACCAAAGCAACAACATTAATAATCCAAATAATAAGCAACATAAGTGTACAAAAACTATTCAGAAGAAGTGCCGGGCTGATTCTAGAACCAGATGAAGAAGATGGAGATGGTTTTGGTGTGTTAGATTCCCACATTGGAAAATTACAGACGATGAACATGGACTTCATGAGCTTAACTAACTGAGAAACTCCTACCCAATCATAAATTTACAACCAAAGAACCAAACTCAACTGAAAGCTGAGCTTTAGGACCTCTGAGTCAGCAAGATCAACAAGACTATGTTATCATTTCAAAGACTCAGGACTGCTATGAATTGGACTGGATTCAAATTGATGAAGAAGATGCATCTTAGAAATATGGGAATCTAAAGAATTATCACTGTGCTAAACTATTTCTGGATCAAATTGAGCCGTGTTTGTTCAAAAACCCACTAGAAAGAAAGAAAAACCCAATCTTTTTTTTACAAAGAAATTGACAATAACATCAAAGAAAGAAAGAAATCTTGACACCCAGATATGAATTCTTCAGAACACAGAATTAAACAAAAAAAGAAGAATAAGAAGAATAAGGATTTTACAGGATTGCAGTTTACCGGAGCTCACTGCACGGCTTCAAGAAACCCAAGCAGTCCAATTGTAAAGATTTTGAGTACTTGGTTACTCTTCATCACTGCTGCTTTTGCTATAAAAGAAGGATTATTAAAATCTAAATGTAAGTTAAATGAAACAACTAAAATGAAACATTTAAAAGTAACCTGTTGTTTTTCAATGGACAATTACGGCTGTCATGCGTAGTCATTTTGTTGCATGAACGACAACGTCGAGTGTGCTTTTGTTTTTCTTGACCCTTCTCCACACCACTCTTAATCCTCTTTTTCCTTGTCTTCGTGACTCCAATCGTAGGAGGATGGATTTCAACTCTATCAGGCACTTTGCATCCAAAATAAGCTTCCAAGTCTTTCCTTTTATCATTTCCAACTGTTGGCCCCATATCAGTGAGTTGATGCTCAAGGGAAGTCGTACTCTCTAAAATCACTTTCAATTTCTCATAATCTCGCCCTGCCAGAAGCATGTAGTTGTAAAACTTGCACCAGATATTAGATAAAGTTTGATTCTCTAGCTTCGTTGTGTTAAATGTTTCATCAAAATGCACCGTGCCTTCAACAACAACTCTTTTCTTTGCATATTTTGTCTATCTATCGAAAATATAAACCTTTGGCAGCTCTCTAAACCCTTGCCCATTCAAAACTGATAGAATATGCCTACAAGGAATTCCTTGTGACACAAAAAATGGCAGGAGCATGTGGCAGCTTCTTCAGTCAGATCACTATAGCGGACATTGTACAGCTTCCCTTTTGCACCACGATTATCGCTTACGGCTGTCTTTGTTTGACCGACAACAGATTCCATCCCTTGGATACCACAGTAGCATAAGCCATTCCAAAATTCTTCTTGAAACAAGTAAAAATTGGTGTGTGTGTAAACCTCCCGTGCATGGCGCTCCAAGGGTAATTCTGTTCTTAGAACGGGATTTGAAGTTAATGACGCATTCTGTTGTTTGTACTCATTGTCACGCTGAGTATCAATGGCATGCTGAAACCGCACCCAAAATTCTACCAAACTTATTAGTTGGTTTGTCAAACAACTGAACGTTTGGTTTTGGCTTTCTGAACCCGACGTTGTTCTTACAACAGCACCTAAGTATGTGGCATCAAAATATACCTAGGCCCATTTCTCCTTTATTGAAAAGATATGCGTGAACCAATCATTACACAACAAATCAAAATCAGTCATTATGCGTAGCCATTCCTCTTCAAATTCTTCAGGACTCTCTGAGGACCAAACACAGGATTTCAAATGCGTATGGAAGTCTTCAGATGAATTCACAGTGGGGCCCATATATTTCGGAACTTTTTTTAGTATATGCCAGATGCAAAACCTATGTATTGATTTATTAAACACTTCAGAAAGGGCTAACCAAATAGAATGGTCCTGATCAGTAATTATACTTATTGGTTGCTTCCCTCCCATTGACTCTAAGAATTTTGAAAAAAGCCAAATAAAGGAGTCTCCTTTCTGATTACAAACTAACGCTGCCCCAAAACAAATCAGCTTACGGTGGTTATCCACACGAGTAAATGGGCAGAAAGTAAGATCATACTTATTCGTGCCATGTGTTGTGTCAAATGAGAGTATATCTCCAAATGAAGAGTAATTTAAACGACTTAATGAATCAGCCCAAAACACTCTCTTCAAGCGACTCTCTTCATCCACTTCATATGCGAAGTAAAACCCTGGCTATGTCTCTTTTCTCCTCTTTAACCTGTCAATAAACATATGGGCATCATTGTCTTTAATGATGGCCTTCAAGCTTCTTTGATAGTTCAAAAAATCCTTTTTCGTACAACCCACATTTTGATGACCCATCATCACCTCAACCGTAACATCAAAAACCTTACAGGGACCTACATTGACTCTACTAGCACTACACAACATGTGCTTGTGCGATGTAGAAACTTCCCTCGATGAAGATAGGAAATGTCTTCTGCTCGGAGTAACCATGGGATGGACATGGGACTCTTCAAACTGAACAATCTTACAACCCTCCTCACATGACACAACTAACATACGAGCACGACAACCTTCTCGAGTTTCAGCTCTTTTCTTTCTTTTTGGTTGTTTTGAGTTTATTGATTCTTCAGATAGGGGATACTGCTCAGAAAGGGGATCCTGCTCTTGAGGATGGGTTATAACTTCAAGGCCAGTTTTAGGTTGTTTCCTAAAGCCTTCTTTTGAACACACATATGCTTTCCAAGTTTTATCCCCATTTCTACTTTTTGAAGATAACCTACAACGTATGCTAAACCCTGATTCCCGGGCATACTGATTGTAGAACGCTTGGCATTCTACAAAACTCAAAAAAACATGACCTATTTTAATCTTTAAGTTGTCTGGTACATCAAGAACCCAATTCCCCAAAGTTATAGAAGCAAATGATGGCGTTTGTAGAAAACTAGAATCAATTGAATAGCTTTCCATTTGCATAAGATAAAAGCAACCTATAGAATATGTCAAAGAGGGAGAAAATAAACATAAACTGTAATTTCTTATCACGAGGAAAAAGTTAACATAAACCGTGTTCAATTTCTTTTGCACTTTTATTTATCTATCTGGAGAAAATCAATGCAAAAATGGAACGTTTAGAGCCAAAAAGAGCAGACATCTTGAGGCAGATAAAAGAAGCTGAAGGTCATAAGACAACATGCTTCTGCTGTGGCAGAATGAGGCACATTAAGTTGCATATGTTCATGTTTGAATGCTCAGTATGGTGACGTGTAAGTGTGTAACATAATAGAATGTTAATTGTGTCCTGATATGTGTTTAACTTGTGACTCCAGTAGTTGTTCTTGGATCAGTTAGACACTCAGTTAGGACTTATTGTGCTCTTAAATTAGACACATGATCACTGCCTACCCTCCCTCCCACCACTGGTTTTGCATCACATCAACTAGTGCGATGGTGATTACTCTGCATTTTTTATAGTTCAATTTTTGCAATTTTGATAAGGTCCATTGAAAGCCTATACAGAATGTATCCATTTTGATAAAACTCGCCAAACATTTTGATAAAACTCACAAAACATTACTGAGTTTCCACATTCTTGTTTGTATATTAATGATGAATATACAAGATAGCAACCAAAAATTAATCTTAGTACTCACCCATTTAGAATCCATCAGGTAACTCAAATCCCCATACTCAGAAATTCATAGGCACAACTTTTTTTATACCTTTCTCTATTACTTTCATCACAAAGAAAAGAGCTCTTTTTGATAAATTCTCCAAAAAAATTTATCCTAAAAAGGCATAAAAAAACAGAGTAGAACGAATTACCTGGTAAGTAGTATGTTGTCCAACAAATGAAGAAGAAGGAATACCCTTGACGAATCCAATGACAAGTTGAATTCAATGTCTTCCATATCTAGGAATCAAATGCAGAGGTCAGATAAAATTCGCGTGAAGAAGCCGATGAATTTGAGAGTGATTAGGAAGATTGCATCGGCGACAATTGGGGAAGAAGATGGAATGCATCGGCGACAATTGGGGAAGAAGATGGAAACGGGAACAGAATGAAATTGGGGAAGAAGATGGAAACGTGAAAGAAAACGGGGAAGGAAACGGGAAATGAAACGGAAGTATGAAGCGCGCGTGTCATCTGATGGGAACCGTCATCTTACCAAAACTCGTCATCTAACCGGAGTCAATCCCATATATATATATATATATATATATATATATATATATATATATATATATATATATATATATATATATATATATATATATATATTCAAACATTTGATAGCAAAGTGAACTGAGACAGTTAATGAATTAAGTTTTTAGAATTATTCAAACATACCAATTTATTTACCATATATACGTATAGGGGGGGTAAAGAGCACTTTCTATTTTTTGGATTTAGAATTACTCCCTCCGTCCCCTTAAGATCTTCTCATTTTGACTTTTTGTGGTTTTTAAGGAGAGTTGAAAAAATGTGAAAGTTTACCATAATACCTTTAATGAAAATGGGTGGAGTGTATTAAATGAGGTAGGTGAGGTATAATAAATAAAGTAAGTGGAAATAGTTGTGGTATATATATTTTAATTCTTAAAAAAGGTAATGAGAAGATCTATGGTGGACAAATAAAAAGGGTTTATGAGAAGACCTATGAGGGACGGAGGGAGTATATTTTTGCATAAAAAAGTGATTTAGATTCATCCATTTTTATGAAATAATTAATTATGCACCTACTTCTTTGAATGAATTTTATTAATTTTATATTTAGGTTAGTGGTCTTATGCTAAACAAAAAGAATAGGTTTGGTTGCTACATATCTTGAAAAAATGACCATGTTAAAACTCCTCATTGTATAAGTAGATTTAATCTTCTCATTTAACTTTTAACGCTCTCCAATATAATATTTTGATCACTAATATCAATATTTATACTTATTGTATCTTATGAAAATTCATATTTCAAAACAACGTTTAAAAAAAGATTATTGATCGATATTGCATTTATAGATAAACAAAAATTATTTTTTCATATATCGAGGCCAATCGTTATCTTTATATATTAAATTTAAGAGTTAAACTCATAGAATAAAATAAGTGGTGAGTCTACATGGCAACATTTTAACAAATCATCCGCCACCTATATGGATTACGAAGTGCCACTACAATTATTTGGGAAAAAAACTAAAATAAGATTAGAATATGCAGAAAGTGCCAAAATACGAGTTTCATATTTTTTATCTCCAAAATATGAACTACAATACCAATATTTTATTATATAGTGCTAAAAACATTATGAAATGGTAATATACAGTGCCACAACATCACTGTGTGAAGTGTGAACTTTATTTAGTAAATAAAAATATTGAACTCTTATGCAGGGCATAAAATTTATGTGTTACTTCTATTTAAGTGATTTTTTTAGTTTTGTTTAGGAAATATATACAGAGTAATATATATGGAGTAGTAACTACCAAAAATTTCCTTCTACACTTATATTACCTTATATATCTTGGGAACTTCTTTGCATACCTTTCTTTTTCTTCTTCTATAGTGTAGATAGGTGAAATTGTTAAAACTATTGTGTAATTGATGATGTACTCACACTTCATTTGGTAAGTTTAAGGGACGGTATCATTAGTAATCTATTTAAAAAGGAAATTGATAGCATTATTTTTTGTTGAATTATATTATTTTCCATATTCTTTGCGGAGCTTACGAGAACAGATTTCCAATTTTGTTGATCGGAACTCCAAAATTTACTATTTAGCTACTAAACATGAAGAGATTCCTTTTTTCTATATAACGAGGTTAAAGTATACAAAATTTGACCAAGAAAAGTCAAATGAAAATATTAAATCCGAATGGAGACTAATAAGATCGAGACTAAGTTACAAGTTACAACCACATCAAAGAGAAATATAATTTCAAATTTATAATTATTTGTATTTTGATAAAACATTTTGTATATTGACGAGAATACTATTAAGGGCTTGAATGATTTTGCATTATAAAAGTGAAAAAGAAAAGTTTGCATATGATCTTATGAGATACTTATCTACGATGAATGAATATCAGCACAATATATACGATGAGATAATGGAAGTTGTGACAACTGAAAGAAGAGATTTCTTTTTTATGTATGGTTACAGTGGAGCTGAAAAAATATTTTTTATAGAAATCAGTGTTTATTTCTCTAATGTCAAATGATAAGATTGTCTTGAATGTCACATCCAGTGGTATTGCAGCATTACTTTTTCATGAGGGAAGGACATGGGTGAATGACATTACACTTGAGATTCTCAATCTCTTTGGGCGATTGCATAACGTGTGCCATCAAACAAGAGAGTCCAAAAAGCAGAACTAATCCAACAAGTAAGTCTAATAATATGGGATGGAGCATGTATGAGGAATAGATTTATTTTTAAGGTGTTGGATCACAAAATGAGAGATGTAATGAATTTCTCTAATAAAAACTCTAGAAATGAACCATTTGGAGGGAAAACAGTTGAATTCGGAGGGGAAAAAGTAGGACTCGAAGGGAAAATAGTTGTAATCAGAGGTGATTTTTGGCAAACTCTTCTTGTTTTACCCAAAACTTCAAGAGAGAAAATTGTGAGTGCTATCATCTATTCTTTAAAATTATGGTCGTATTTTAAAATTGATATGTTAGCGAAGAATATAATATTACATTCTTCTACGTCCTCTATCCCAAATAGGGACACACAAATTTTTTCGGATTGGATAATTAAAGTTAGAGATGAAAAACTTAGACAAGTGATTGATGAAACAACTGACCTTAAAATTCCGCATAAATGATTAATTCTAGACACAAGTTATTTTGTGAAGAGTATAGTAGACTTCACTTATCCTAATTGAACCTATTGGAGAGTATGAAAATTTATTCATTTTTTAGGATAGGGCACTACTGGACCATGCTTGAGGTTGTAGAAATGGTTAATGAATTTGTCATATCCCTCATATCACTAATATGAAATGGTGTGCCTGAGTTTTGATTCTTTATGTCAGGCCGATTCAGATGTAATTGTTGATGACAATAAAATTTTAAATGAAATCAAATGTTCGGGGATCCAAAACTACAAAATAATCTTAAAAATGGGTTAAGGATTTTGATATTGAGAAACATTGACCAAATATATGGATTATGTAATGGTACACGATTAATCCTTGAAGAGCTGTGAAAGAATGTTGTTGGTCTATTGTGGTTTTGAGAAATCGAGTCAACAAAAAGTTTACGTACTCCAAATGAAATTGATACCATCTGATCTAGGACTACTTTTGAAGTTATTTATAAGACAAATCTCAATAGTCTTATATTTTGCAATGACTATCAACAAAAGTTAAAGTCAAACATTGTCATTTCTTGCATTACTTTTAACCAAGTTGGTATTTACTCATGGTCAGCTTTATGTTATGGTTCCATGAGTGAAGACAAAAACACAATTAAAAATATTGGTTCTAGATGACAATGATACCCTTGCAACTATATCAAAAAATTATATACTCTAGAGTCTTTCAAAAAGTTTGGTATTAAAAATACTTGGTTGAATACACATTCAATTCCTCAAATATTGTTTATTCTACTTTGTAATTTTTGTATATAGCATTAAAAATCATAGGGAAATATATTTTCTTTATTCTGGGAAAAAATATTACATTAAAAAAGTTTTAGAACCAATAAAAATTTTATTCGACCCCGTGCGTTGCACGGGTAAAAATACTAGTAAATAATTTATGGGAAAGTGTAAAAGTTTAGGAGAAAGTGTTAAAGTTTATGGAAAAGTGTAACTTAAATAAATATTTTATGGGAAAGTGTAAAACTTTATGGGAAAGAGTTAAAGTGGTAAATTTTAGTAATGATGCATGAAATTTCACTGGAATTTCAAAATGGTACCTGAATTTTAAATTCTTTCACAAAATTATCTGAACTTACATAATCCTTTCACTTAAAGTCCATTTACCTATTTCCAGGTTAACTTCCAGTCATTTGGGCTAAATTAGAATTTTATATATTTTAAAATTTTTAATTTGATCCCATTTCTTTTTCTTCTTCTTCTTCCCCTCCCACTCCTTTCTTTTTCTTCTTTCTTTCACCCCCTTTCTTCATCTTCTTCTTCTTCTTTATTGGAAACAAAATATCAGAAATCTAATATCAGATTACAAATAATTGGAAACAAAAGAGTAGAAATCGCAACAGAAATCTACAGATTATCTAGAAAAAAGAGTTCGAAGTCAAAAACATCGCATATCCGCACCAACCATATTGAAGCAATGCGCGCCTTACCATGAACTTGAAGAATCGCAAACTAGATTTGATGCTTTTTTATTCAGACGAAAAATGGAAAATCGCATGTGATTTGAAATTGTAAAAAGGAGAGAGATATCATAAAAATTGAATCTATAAGGAAAATGAATTCACAAATCACTTCCTAAATAAGATAAGCATGCAGCAAATTAATATCTATGTAGTATACGAAACTCTAGGGCCAGTGTGCTGGGATTTTAAGCAGATGACCATGAAGTTTGAGCTGGATAAAACACCATTTGTGTTAAGAGGGATGGTAAATAAGAAACTCAAGACTGTGGAAGGATCACCAACAACTAGGATGTTTAGTAGTTCCATCCAATTCCGTTTACTACAAATAAGTGAAGAGACAAAGGATGAACTTCCCAGTATGATTAACTAACTGTTGTGATCACAAGGAAGAAGGTAGTTGGGATGAGAAGTTTGAAGGCTTGAAGAAGGACTTGCAAGAGATCTCTGAAGATCCTACAGAGTTGCATCCTTTCAGGGAAGTGTTTGATCACAGGATACCCTTGGAACCATGAACAAGGCCTATTAACCTCAGACCCTACAGGTACCCCTTGAAACAAAAGGATA